TGTTTTAACTCGGCTAACGCCGCTTTTGCGGCCGTCAGATCACCGCCGGGTCCGAAATCTTCGTCCTTCAGCTGATAGAGGACCGCCCCATATACAGCCAGGTTCTGGATGAACCGGCCGTAGTAGTTCAGCGCTCCTAAGAATGCTTGCATCCCCTTCTTCGTCGTCGGGAACGGTAGCCCGGCTATCGCCAGCATCTTTTTCTGGTCGGCTTGGATTCCAGCCGAGGTCACCCCATGTGACGGGAAGTCGACTTTAGGTTGGACGAAGATGCTTTTCGGGAAGCTGACGCTGATGCGGCATTCAGTGAAGCGTTGCAGCAATCGGTCAAGCGTCCCCAAACAATCGTCAAACGTCCTCCCACCGAAGCAGATATCGTCCACAAACGATCGCCGGTCGAAAACCGGTGCAAGGCGCGATTCATCAGGTTCACCCGTCCGGAACATGTCGGCTTCTGGGCTGTTAATGAATTCTTCCAACGGGTCAAACTCAGCTTGAGCTCGGCGGTCGGCCTCAAACTTGGTCTGGCCACTGGCTTCAAAGTCGATGTCGGCTGCGAGCCGTTTCCGCTGAGCTTCTGAGGCGGCTTCCGCTTGTTGGATGCGCTTGGCGAACACCTTCCAGCCGCCCTTGGGTTGTACGTAACCCCACAGAGCGTTATCAATAAGACGCTGGTAGATCATTGGGGCATTCTTTAATCCGAAGGGCATCCGCAGCCACTCGAAGTGGCCAAGTGCGCAAACAAAAGCCGAGATCCAACGCGCCCGTCGAGTCATCGTGACCGCCCAGAAACCGCTAGCAGCATCCAAAGAGCAGAACCATAGGTACGCTTCCAACGCCGTGAGGAGATCGTCCACTAGCGGCATGGCGTACTCCATGAGCAACGTAATCGCGTTTACCAGCTTGTAGTCGATACACAACCGAATGTCGACCCCATTCTTCTTTAGGACAATCACGATGGGTGATGCCCATGGGCTGTTCGAGAAGGCGATTAGCCGAGCTCGTAGCAGCGCCTTGAGCAGCTCGTACAACTTGCCGAGATGCTTCAGCGGAACTCGGCGGGCTCGTTGGCGGATTGGCGGATGCCCCTGTACGTCGATGTCGCACACTACGCCGTATGCTGGTGGAGGTAGGGCATTACCACTGGAGATCATGATCTTTTCATGGCTCTTCAATACTTCCACCAGCCGAGTAGACTGTGGCCGAGTGTGCGCCGAGCTCCGAGCGTTTGGCGCTTCATAGTCGAGTGGCGTCGACACCGCTTCAGTCAGATCGGGCAGGAACGCCACCTCGCGAGCATAGTCTTCGAGCTCCAAGTTCGTTGCCTGGTGCTCGAACTCGGCCGAGTCTCCCGCCGAGCCGCCTCGGCCATCTGTCTCTTCCACGTACTTGGCTGCCAGAAGGTAACGTAAGCGCAGGTCTTCCTCCGGGTCTGACGACATGGGCTCGTCGTTCACATCGACCTCATCTTCGAGCCTTGGACTCGGCGGCTTGGGCCCGGGGTCATCGATGATCGTCCAGTCAGACCGATCGCTGGATCGCTCACTTTCACACTCATCTGCTGCACAGGCGTTTTGGCTGGGCGCTTCTTGACCAGCCGTCACTGTGATCTCTGCTCGACCAGGTGGATCATTGACCAAGTCTGCAGTAGCCTCCGCGCTCAATGCTACTTCCTCAGGCGCTAGGGTAGCGGTAGCCGAGTTCGCTGGCTCTGTCAGAGTCGAGGGTGGACTATCGACTGCTTCTGCCTCGGCTCGCTCCTCCGACTCGGCTAATTTCTCCCATTGCTGGGCGCAAGTCAGTGCCGAATCCCGCTGCTTGGTAGACGGCCACGTAGTCACCCCTTTCGGTTCAGGGTAGTTTACACCCCATGCGGCGCCCAGGCAACCACTGGGAAATGTGCTGGGCACCACGTCCAAGTCGGCTTAAGGTTGGTCAGGCGAACTCGAGCCACTCGGTTACGCCGGTCGAATACCACGGTCGGTACTCAGTCTTTAGTCCGGCGTACCCAGAAGTCATGTGTTTCATCACTCGGTTGATTCCTCATCAGCCTGAACTCGGTGGGAACTCGGCTCTCGAGATTCACCGGTTCGGTCGGACCGTCTGTGATGTAGAGGCCGCCCTTCGGTTCATCCGCTGAGTTCTGGGACCTCACGAGAGGTAACTTCGCCACCGAGTTGTACAGATCCAGGCGGATCCCAGTCGGAATCATGAAGTCCGTACCGAGAATCAACTCGACTCCCGCGTGGTGATCGAGGATCCATACTTCAAATTCATACGTGACCTCCCAGCCGAGCGTCACCTTCACCATCGCTCGTGACATAGTCGCCACTTTGCCTTTCCCAATACCTTGAACGCCAATCTGTTGGTCCTGGCGTGTGAACCGCTTCAACCGCAGCCTCTTCGCGAACCCTTCGCTTATTGCCGACACATTCGCACCGGTGTCGAGCAATATCTTTGTACGCCGGTCGTTCACTGCTCCCATAACGAGAGCTCTCATCCGAACTCGGCGGTCAAACTTTTGTGACGACCACCAGCCGAGTTGCTCCCCAGGGAGCAGCTTCATAACTCTGGTGGCTGTGGTCACATCCGTCGATCGCTGAGTCGCAACTGCACTGCACAATCTTGCTCGGCTTTCTTCTCCACTCTCGCCGAGCTCACCATCAAGTCCATCGCTTTCACAATCCAATACGTCGTCTTCTCCTCGGGCCTCGGGCCTTCCTGCCTCACCCACAAAGGCAAACACAAAGTTCGCCTCTACTGCTGGCTCAGCTGACTGTGGCAGCCCGGTATCATCCAACCCAGTCAGTGTTGGCGGGCCGCTGAGTTTAAATCACTCGGTGTGTAGAGGTCCTGGAGGTCTTCAGGTAACTTGGACTTGTCGACATTGGACTTGACAAATGCGGCGAGCTTCTCATAGCGCTGGAACAGCTCGCATTGACCGACATCGTGCAATTGCTTGCAGAACTTGCAGCGACGGCGGCAGTAGTGAACGGAGTGGTTCGCACCACCACAGGCAGCACAAGGTCCATACGAAGGGCGTTCACGGGAGTCACTGCGCCGCCCAGTCTGGTCACGCCGATCGTATCCTCGACTGGCGCGGTCAGCCGAGCTCGGCTGACCCCTTCGGTAATCACTCCTTGGTGTCCCAGCTGAGTTCCCTCGGTCCCCCGATCTACGGTCGCGGTTGCTAGTGAACCCGGTGTCGATGTAATCGTCTTCCGAGTCTACAGCCGAGTCGGAGTAGCTCGGCTGGCTGTCGTCGCTCTGATCGCTGTCCGAGTCGTAGAGGTTGGATCGCCGATTGGATTGGCGTCTCTCAGCCAGCTCATACGGGTCGTCCTCCAGCAGCGCTGTCGCTAGTCGGCGGTCTCGACCATCGTCGCGTCGGCTTCGCCGGTCATCTCGGCGGTCATCTCGGCGCGGCTCACTCCGCCGAGCTTCCGAGTGCGTTGGCGAATCGGTGCGCTTGGCATCTCGGCTGCGGCTTCCGATGAGACGGTCGCGCTGTTTCTTCCGGCGCTCCCCCAGGATCTTCTGGTTGATGATCTTCTCGACCTTCTTGATGTCGGTGAGCTGTTGCGGATAGAGCAGATCCATGATGTCATCATCTCCGCAGTGCAACAGGAAGTGTTCCACATGGTCAGCAGCATCCGCTCCACCGGCCTCATACTGGATTTTCGCCGACTTCGCATATCCGTTGAGACGAATGAGGAAGTCACACACCAGCTCGTTGTCTTTCGCTGAGCCGAGTAATAGCGAGCTCGTGCCGACTGGTCAAACTGCGAACAGTAGTAGTCGGCGAATGCCTCACTCAGCAGACTCCACTTCCGTTGCGTTTTCTTCGGGAGCTGGCGATACCAGCTCTTCGCGCCTCGCTCCAGCTTCAGCGAGAATGGCTCGTACCAGAGGTCTTGTGCCAGCCGAGTTCCTTTCATTTCGTAGATGAACCTGTGGTGTAGTGCCCAGCGAGGAAGCGGGCACGTCGGCGTCGGTGAAAGAAGGCGCCGAGACGAATGCTGATGGATGCGGATGATGAACTCGACGCAGTTGATGAAACGCGACGCGATTGATGGGGGCGACGCGCGGCAGAGGTCGACGGAAAGTCGACGCGGGTGATGGGCCGCGAGACACAGCGACAGAGTCCAACTCGACGCGTAATCATCCGACGAGTCGACCAGCGCCCCGTCTCTGCAAAACGCGTCGACCCTAATCCCCGCCGAGCAAAACCCGCCGAGCAAGACGCGCCAAGTAAGACGCACCGAGCAAAACGCGCCGACCAAAACGCGTCGAGGTAAGATCTTGATTACGCCACGCAAATCAGGTTGAAGGACGGCAGTGCAAGCACGACAGAAGTAGGGATATGCACAGAACGATAGGCTTAGCAAGCATTAGTACGGAGTAGCCAGTAGCTAGGGCATAGGATAGGGTAAGGACTCAGTCCCGAAATTTCTCTGAACCACAAAGACCTCCCGTCTTCTCCGAGGTTCCAGGGGAACCACCAAGCGCCGGCAAGTAGAGCCGCCTCGATATCGCGGCCCCCCGTCGTTTGCTGGTTCGGGTGCTCACCCCCCACAGACCCGTGCTGGAACAAAGGCACGTTAAACGTATACCGTTTAGGTGGGCGCCCGATAACGCGCTGCCTAGGCGAAGGACCGCACCGGCCTGATAACCGCCGTGCACAAGACCCCCCGTGTAGGCCCGATAACGCCACACAAGCCCCAGGAAACGCCGGCCCGATAACGCCGCACGCCCGACGGGAACGCCGAGGAAACGCCGGCCCGATAACGCCGCACGCCCAAGGCTCGACGCCCTACGACAAGGAACAAGCGTCAACACAAGAACCCCCAACTCCGAAGCCTGCGAAGACTTGGGCCTGTATTTCGAAGATACGCTACTCCAACAACCGGGAATAATTTGCTCGGCGCGACCGCTATCCAGACGCGCCGAGTTTGTGCGAGATCGCATTCGCGAAATTTCTGCGAGGGCGCTACTCCACCATGGTGCCGCGACCCGGGAGTACTACTTCGAATGACGGGCTAACGATCCAAGAGGCATCGGAGGCAGGTGCGCGGTCGGCTGGAAGGTCGCCGACTGCAGGAGAGCACAGTGAGAGACCTGTCGCGTCGTGGAGCTCTGAGGGAACCTTCACGACAGGCCACGGGGCCAGCGACGACCAGGAGGGCTACGAAGAACAGTTTGCCGTTCCCGATGTGGCTCCCGACGAGGGAGCCGCGAAGGGCCGCGACGCAAGTCGCGGTCCTACCGGTCGGAAGCCTGCAAAGGCCGACGACCAACAACAACCCACCGCCAAGGCAGCCACGAAGCGCAAGTCGCCCAAGAGGAGGAAGAAGAAGAAACTGCGCGCGCCGGACTCGGCGGAAGCGTCGCTGTCCAAGCCGCAAGGCAAGGACGCGGGGCGCCAGTACACCGTCGAAGAGGTGCGGTACGTCGTGGCACGCACTGAGCTCTTTCGGCTGCTGGAGCAAGACCCGATCTTGGTCTTCCTCAAGCCCATGCTGATGAGCAACTTCACGGGCCCCTTCGTCGCGCCGGACTTCGATAGTCTCACCAGCGTCGCCCACGCCGCGCCGATTCTCTTCCAGATGCTGCGTGATTCGGGATTCGTGCTGGGATCTTTCGAGATGGAGAAGCTGTGCGACTGGGATCTCAAGTCCTGGTTGCGCGCGATTCGCGTCGTGCAGGAGCCCTTGACGATTCTCGCCGGATCCGTCAAACAAGACGCGACGAGTTTCTCAGCGGGCCAAGGCGCGCCGAGTTCCTCGACGGGCTCAGCCCAGACCTCGACGACCACGCCCTCGCCGCCACCTCGATACCAATCGAGTGTGGACTTCAATAGCAGCTTCGAGTCGCGCAAGCGCAAGTCTCCGGAGAAGCTCTGCGCGCCGGTTTCAGCGGATGGACCGCCGGTCAAGGCGAGAGGCGATGACACGGGGAATCAGTTCACTGCAGCAGAGATGAGGTATATGCTTGCTGGAGTGGAGCTGATCTGGCTGCTGGAGCACGATCCGATCCTGCGTTTCATCAAGCCCAACGCGATCAAGTTCACGGGTCCTTTCCGGGTGCCGGACTTTGACATGCTCACGAACGTCACGCGAGCCGCAGGGACACTCTTCGAGATGTTGCACGAATCAGGCTTCAGCTTGGGCATCACCAAGAGGACGGGAGTGTATGACTGGGACGTCGAGTCGTGGACACGTACGATCCGCGGCGTCTTGGGACCGTTGACGGTCCTGGTCGGATCCATCCAACGCAAGGTGACTCCGCCTGGGACGCGCCCAATCTCAACGCAGATGATAACTTCGTACCAGGCTGAGTCGAGCGTGCATTCCACGTCGAGGTCCAAACCCCGACGCGACGTAGATGACGAACCCGCCGACTTGTTTAACGTGGACTTCGGGATGCCGAAAACCACGGCCGCGACCTCAACCACGACTTCGCCTGAACTGGACGAGGTTTTCAACCATCTGAGCGAGCCGCCGCGCGCTACGCCCCGTGAGGTCACGCCAGAGCGTATCAAGGTTCTGCCGGATCTGAAGGAAGCAATTCCTAAGGCGCTGGAAGAGGCGAATACGCGCTCTACGATAACTCAGGCGTCGAATACCCATGTCTCTGCGGTTCATGTCGAGCCAAGAATCTCGACGCGAAAAACTCGACGCAGAAAATGTCGACGCGGGACGCGTCGAAGGAGATGCGCCAGCAAGGACTTGGTAATCACACCGTGATGTCCGTAGCAGTGCCGGTTGCGACGACATCCAGGCGACCGTTGGGCACGGCGCGGGCCTCTACGACTCCCGAGCAATCGCGTTACGACGCACGAGTGCGGCCGGTCTCACTCGACGCACTTAAGCAACTCGACCCAGGGCAAACACTCGACGTCCGCCTGCGCTCCAGCCGAGATGCACCGCGCCTGTGGGTCACGCGCAGCAAAACGTGGGTTACAACCAGGTTTAAGACTAAGATCGAGCGACAAACATACCTGCGGGTGACCAACGTCACGGACGAGACAATAACGCTCGACACAGGCACGAACGTGGGTTGGTGGACACCCTCTGATGTGTTTCCGCCTGCGCCCCGCTTCGTGCTGGCGACTAATCGACAGTACCAAGATTGGCAAAACCTTGCGTATGAAGTGACCTGCGACGAGGACGAGACCTGGTGTGACGACGAGCTCGTCTGGCCCATGTATGGATGGCCGACGTACGAAGATCTGGAATTCGACGCGCGTCGAGGTGAGCTAGAGGAAGAAGTTCACGCGGATAGCAAGCCCACATCGTACCCAGTAGTCGCTGTGAAGTCACGAACAGCGGGGCTGACCCGTGCGCCAGCGGTGGAGACGTCGTCGGTGAGCAAGTTGCAGACGCGTGGCCACTCGACGCTGTCGCGCGTGGTGTTGAAGACATGGGTCGACGTAGTAACGACGTGTGTACGGTCGGACCACGGGTCGCAGAGAAGCGACAATACGGGGCGCCCAGCTGAAGCGTCGCGAGTCGAACAACTCGTCGAAGGTGCGTCGGGCGACGAAGCGCGAGGCGCGCCGTCCAGCGGAAGGTCGCAGCAATGCGACAGGGTGCGACAGTCGAGCGAACGCGCGCAAGTTGCAAAATCCAACAGGGACAAGTGCGACAGTGTGAGATGTGAGGGATAGAACGTCTCAGAACCGTTCCAGAAGCAGTCCCAGAAGCAGTCCCAGAAGTGCGACACCGTGAGACGGACGGAATGTGACACCGTGCGACAGTCGAGCGAAGGGTCGAGGGGACGCGACGACGTGAGACTGACCGAATGTGACACTATGCGACGGTCAGTAGCGAGGTCTCAGACCTGCGACGGTATGCGACTTGGGGACAAAGCTGGAAAATGGCGTCTTTGGCGACATTCCGCCCTCGAGCCCGTGAAGAACAAGCCGAATGTGAACTTCGACGTGGTCGACGAGGGGCCTGACGGTGGCGGCACTGGAGGACCACCGGGGTCTGCACCAAAAGAGAGGCACCGCGCCATAAACCTAGATCGATTGGTCAACCCTGAGCAAGATGCTGGTCCGAATTGCGCGATCTATCGAAGTGGCGGGTACGCCGCGGCGGGGCGAGTGGTGCGATTTCCTGTGGACAAGCCCGAATGCCACGGCGCGCCACCTGGAGGATTGCTGGCGAAGGTACCAGCTGTCACTCGACGGATGTCCAGTGAACTCAATAAGTCTGCGGTCCTGAAGATGGCGGGCAAGGCGGGCGACGAGCCACGCAGCCTGCAGCTACACCGACTTCGAACGTGTGACGCACTACACGTACAACCGCGTTACGGCGTACGTCGAGGCGGGAACACGGGGCCGGACGCACCTGTTGGATGCGTACGACGAGATCAAGAAGACAGCGCGACGAATAACTCGTCGCAGATCCGGTGCGCGGAGACGATGCACCGCCGAGAGGTCACCGGGAAATCGGATCCTGGGGAACGCGGTCAACGCTCCGCGGCGGCCGGTTGCACTGGCGCGATGCACAGGGCGAAGGACGGTGCCGACTCGGCGAAGACTCAGGTGGGGGTCATCCAGCCTACTACAGCGCAGAACGCGTCGAGCCCGAGCGCGACGAGGGTGCCAGACCCACGTTGCAACACGGACAGTCGCACTGACGCGAGACGCGGGACGAGCGACGGTGACGCCAGCGCAGCAGGGGCAGGGGTGTTTGTCATACAGCCGGCGGATCACTCGCGAGAAGACATCCGACCCCGGACGTTAGATCCAGAAACAGCGTCACCTGTCAACCTCGTCGCGGAAGATTGCGACGCGAAAAAACTCGACGTGGAAAATCTCGACGCGGAACGCGACGAGGGAAACTGCGACGAGGCCAAACCTGTCGTCAACGTGCCGGAACGAGACCCGCCGACGCCGGAGAACATGGATTTGGGGCGCGGGACGGCATACGTCCTCGTGGTGACGATGCACTCGGCTTCTACACGCGCGACGAACCCCAGAGGCAGAGCTCCAGGTGTCCTACAAGAGCTGGCTGCTCAGAACCCGTCGAGCCTCGTCAAGACCCCTCCCAGAGCGGCTAAAGGCGCAGAGAGTCATGGCCCCGGGCATTTTACGGGGCGCGGTGCGCTGGACGAAGACGCGTCTTGCGTCGGATCTGGTTGTGCATTCAAGTTTTTGGGTGGCGTGTGGGTCGCTACGAGAAACACGTCACGCGTCGGTACCCAGTCAAAGCGCCTAGGGCTATGCGTTCGACAGCACCGCCGACTCGCGCAGGTGAACGCGCTAGAAGTCGACCAAGGTGTACACGTCGCAGATCGGACTCGGGGCGGAGTCGCGACGACGGACACGGCTGAAGTCAATTTGCCGATACGGTATTGCTTGGATTGCGACAGCCCCGGTCTCCCCCACTAGCTTAAGCGCATGTCCGACGCACTGGCAGGATGCGAGCTACAACGTCATGAGTGCAACGCGACGGGAAACCCGTCGCAGACCCGGTGCGCAGAGACGCTACACCACCGAGAGGAGATCGTCAGGAAACCAGATGCCACGAAACACGGTCAATGTCGTGCGACGGACAGTCACGCTGAAGCGAGACGCGGGGCGATGGGAAGTGCCCCCGACGCGGCGAGAGTGCAGGGGGGGGTGGCATCCAGCCGGGTGCAGCGCGGAACACGTCGAGACTGAGCGCGACGAGGATGTCAGAAGTTCTAAATCGCGCGACGGACAGTCACGCTGAAGCGAGACGCGGGGCGATGGGAAGTGCCCCCAACGCGGCGAGAGCGCAGGCAGTTGGCATCCAATCTGCTGCAGCGCGGACCGCGTCGAGCCCGATCAGGAGGCCTGTTGCAGTGTCGAAATACGTGGAGGGTCCAACGTCAGTACAGCCCTCGGAGTGCGACGACGCGATAAACAGAAACCCACCTTGCGTCGAGGCTGATTGGGAATTCGAGGTTGCGAGGAGCGTGTCGGACGCCGCGAGTGACTCGTCGCGCGACGGAACAGAGTCGACGCGCCGAGGGATATGCATCCTTCAGAACTGCCGACTCGCGCAGGTGAACGTGCTAGTAGTCGGCCAAGCCGGGGACGACGCAGATCGGACCCGGGGCGACGTCGCGGCGATGAACAGGGCTGGAGTGAATTCGTTGATGTCATATTGCTGGGATCGCGGCAGAATGGGATCTGCCTACGGGCTAGAGCTCATGCTCGACGCTGTGCCGCGAGACGCCCCGTGTGTGAGCACGTACGCTGTACGTCTTGAGACGGGCTGCACGCCTTGTCAATTTTCGGTTAAGGACGTTTCCAAGTTGAGGCATGTGCGCGCTATGATCAATGGGACGACCCCGTCGAACGAGCCCGCCGACTGCCGCGACGAGATGCCGCTAGAAGTGAGCCGGGACACTAGCACTGTAAAGAGCGACGGCGTTGCGTACTCGAAGGTCAGGGACATGCACGCCGAGACGGTTCGCGTCGTGGTAGACTTGGCGCTCTCCTTTCGGTTCGCGCGCGACCGAGATCCGCGGTGTACGTCAAGGGCGATAATCGCCGTCGGAAAACTACCGCACCAGTGCGCCGAGCCCAAGCGACGGACGCTACAGATCGGACCGCGTGCGCAGATGCGGCGCGTCAGGTTGTGCACCAAAGCGCAAGGCAGGCCAAACAAATCGCGTCGCGAGACGAGTAACTCGCTTTACCAACTGTCTTTCGACTTCCGCACCTCTAAGCAAAACCCCGTTGAAGAGTTTCCGTCACACGCCGCGACGTGTTTGGCGGTGTCAACGAACGGACCGTTTGACTCCACCGATACGTGTTTACTGGAGCACAGCCTGACACTCGCTCTGGACGAGGATGCTTCCGAAGGGGAGAAGTCCTTGGAGCTGCATGCCGGTCGGGCTTCCCGACCTGGCTGCGCGCGCCGCGAGTCCGACGTGACCTGGAGAGGCTGTACCGACGAACTGGATCTCAACTGCGGAAAGTGGCGGTGCGACTTCTCGCGACAGCACGCTGGTCGTTACCGTCTTGCGGCGATTTCACGCGAGGACGTGGGGCGGCTGAGCCGAGCCCTGGTGGGTGAGCGCCTTTAGTGGCGCGGTGGAAGTTGGCAGGGTGGCTGCCGACAGGTTGATAGGCGGAGAGCCTCGACTCTGGGAATGGCCGGAGCGAGGGGTTGAATGAGGAAAGTGTGGAGGACCAGCCTGTTGCTGAAGATGAGATGGCGGAGGGCCGTCTCATAAAAGATGTGAAGAAGTGGAAAGAAACGAAGGAAAAGAGCAAGGCCTACGTGTTGGAGTTACGGCTACAGCGACTACGAGCAACGACAACGTGTGGCACTAGGGCCCCTCAATGGGTCCATGTCAGTGAACGCGACGAGGGACGTCGCCACTTGGTCTGAGGCCGGCGCGCTTAGGCGTCGCTGTCCGAGGCCTCGGCCTGGAACTGCGCTGTGACCTGGCGCGTTCGATCGACAGCAGCAGCCGAGACGAAGGCGAAGACGATGGAGTCGAGACCGAACTGAGAGGCCTGCACCCGTGACGCGTTGATTCCTCGGCTCCGCTGTACCGCGGTCGGCGGACACCCGCTGAAGCTGGCGGCGGAGTAGACGCCGGACCTGGACGAAGCGTCGGACCTGGACGGTGCGTCGGAGCCCGATGAGTATCCGCGGTTAACGAGGTCTTAGCCTCAGGACCGGAAACGGGGGCGGCAGAACGCACGCTGACACCCGTACTCGACGTAGTGGAGGCGAGACAGGAGCAGCGGGAGCCGCCGCTCGGCTTGACTCCGCAGGCCACAGCGTTTATCTCCACCGCGACGGAAGCTTCACGTCGACGGATCAGGTCGTAGGTGTCAATGTGCCCGCCTACGGACGTGACGACACCGGCAAGCCGTTCTGGAAGTCCATCGCGCACGTGCTACGCCATCTACCAACCTCGACGCGCTTCCCGAAGCACCCGTCCTCAAACCGCGTCATGCTCGTCGCGGTCCTGGATGGCCACGTCGTGCTCGTCCTCCAGCTCGATTACGTGAGCGCTGAAACGGTGGACTTGAGCGCTAGCGGCATCTCGCCGCTACCCCCCCCCCCCCCCCCCCACGCGACGTATTCCCAGCTGCGCGAGACGTGGCCTGAAACTCGCCGATTCCTCCAAGTCGCGGATACGCGTCGCGCCCCGCCGGAGTTCTTTGGCGTGGGTCACAAGGAACGCGTTATTGCGCCGAAGGTCTACTAACAGCGGCTCGTTAAACGCTGCGCCGACTCGGCTTCCGCACGGCTCTGCGTGGGCGCATTACGGATAAGGGTGAGATGCCCAACAAGGGTAGTGCGTCGCCGTCCGAGCGCGATGGACCTGGTCTCTCTCGGTGACGGCGATGTTGCACTCCTTTTTGGAGAGCCGAAGCTTGACGCACTTGGTCCCTCGCGATGCTGGAAGCGTCGTGCGCGCGGTCTCGCTCGGCAAAAGCTACGCCGCGTTGCTGCTCTGCAGCTACGAAGGATTGCTGCGCTTGATCGCATTCCGCCACGGTAGCGCCGAGTCGCGATTGGACCGGGGGGAGGCAGCTTGGGCTACCGCGAGCTGATCGGACGGATCAGGGAGGCGAGACCGATGTGCTCTGCTTGCATAGACGACGATGTCTGCGCAGCCTCGAGGTTGCCCGTGTCGGGCCCGCTCTCCTCGACGCAGAAGTCGCCAGCGCGAACCATGATGCTTGAATGGCAACGAAGCGGACGGAGACGACAAAGAATTCGACGAATCGAGATGCGGCCAACACGCGGGGCAGGTTCTGCAACGACACACCCACCTGGGGAGTGCGCGTGCGTGGCAGCGGGACGGATGTGGTGTAGTGCCCAGCGAGGAAGCGGGCACGTCGGCGTCGGTGAAAGAAGGCGCCGAGACGAATGCTGATGGATGCGGATGATGAACTCGACGCAGTTGATGAAACGCGACGCGATTGATGGGGGCGACGCGCGGCAGAGGTCGACGGAAAGTCGACGCGGGTGATGGGCCGCGAGACACAGCGACAGAGTCCAACTCGACGCGTAATCATCCGACGAGTCGACCAGCGCCCCGTCTCTGCAAAACGCGTCGACCCTAATCCCCGCCGAGCAAGACGCGCCAAGTAAGACGCGCCGACCAAAACGCGTCGAGGTAAGATCTTGATTACGCCACGCAAATCAGGTTGAAGGACGGCAGTGCAAGCACGACAGAAGTAGGGATATGCACAGAACGATAGGCTTAGCAAGCAGTAGTACGGAGTAGCCAGTAGCTAGGGCATAGGATAGGGTAAGGACTCAGTCCCGAAATTTCTCTGAACCACAAAGACCTCCCGTCTTCTCCGAGGTTCCAGGGGAACCACCAAGCGCCGGCAAGTAGAGCCGCCTCGATATCGCGGCCCCCCGTCGTTTGCTGGTTCGGGTGCTCACCCCCCACAGACCCGTGCTGGAACAAAGGCACGTTAAACGTATACCGTTTAGGTGGGCGCCCGATAACGCGCTGCCTAGGCGAAGGACCGCACCGGCCTGATAACCGCCGTGCACAAGACCCCCCGTGTAGGCCGATATGGTGATGAATCCACTTGCAGCCAGACTGAGCGCGATGTACTCCGCTTCATTGCTTCTTGCTTCCCCAGCTCACAGGCGCACTCATGAGCATGAACGTGTAGTCTGAAGTGGACTTGCGGTCGGCGAGGTCGCCGGCCCAGTCCGCGTCCGAGTAGCCACGAAAGTCGATCTTGTCGCCCGGCTTGAAGCAGATCCCATGCGTCTTGGTGCCTTGCAGGTAGCGAAAAATACGCTTGACCGCAACCCAGTGTTCCTCTTGGGGGTTCTCCATGAAGCGCGATACATAGCCAACGGCGTACGCGATGTCTGGGCGCGTGGCGGTCATCAGGTGCATCAGAGCACCAACAGCTTCGCGAAACGGAGCGTTCACCTTGGTCGTCGCGTCGCTTGGAACCAGTCGAGTGCTCATGTCCACCGGACTCACCACGGCCTTGCACTCGTCCATGGCGAAGCGCTTCAGGATGTCGTCCACGTATCGCCGCTGGCACATGGCCACGCTGCCGTCCGGGCCGTCCACCAACTCGATCCCAAGAACAAACGCGCACTTGCCGCTGTCGGTCATCTCGAAGCGCGTCTTCAGGTCGGTCTTCGTGCGTGCGATCAGCTCGGGCGAACTCCTGGTAATCAGTACGTCATCCACGTACACCAGTACAAGCACGCAGTGACCGTCCACCACCTTAATGTAGAGGCACGGATCGAAGGCCGACACTTGGAAGCCGATGGAGCACACGAACTCGTCGAAGGTCTCGTTCCACACTCGCGAAGCTTGCTTGAGACCGTAGATGGCCTTCACCAGTTCCAGGCAGTCGAAGTCACCATCCAGTTCGACGCCTTCCGGAACCACGCAGAAGACCACCTCCTTCATTATCCCGTACAGGAATGCTGTCACCACGTCGAGTTGGTCGAGGGGCCAGCCAAAATACTTAGCAATCGCGATCACCATGCGCAGCGTCACATACTTGACCACGGGCGAGAACGTCTCGGTGTAGTCAATGCTGTACTTCTGCTTGAAGCCCTTGGCCACGAGGCGCGCTTTGTACATCTCGATCGAGCCGTCCGCTTTGCGCTTGATCTTGAACACCCACTTGGTATCGATGGCGCGTTGTCCGTTAGGCAACTTGGCAGCTCGAAACACACCACGCAGTCGCATCGACTTGAGCTCCGCGCGGATCGCTTTGCGCCAGTGCACTTGATCAGGACCGTTCACAGCCTCTTGGAACGTCGTCGGCTCCGATAGATCGGCTGCTGCTTCCACAGCGTTGGCACTGGCACGCCAAAACACTGGAGGCGTCGAGTCGTCGTCTTCATCTTGGTCCCCAGACTTTTCTTCTTCGTCGGGGTCGGCTCGGCGCGAGGAGGATACGTCCGGCGCACTTGCTTCTTCTAAGCCAGCTCGGTGGCGAACGGGGCGCGATCTTCTGGCAGTGTTGTCGTCGCCACTCGGTCGGTACTTGCGCTTCCCCGCCTGCTTGAAGCTCGTTTGGCGCGGTCCATCGTTGTCGTCCAGGTCCAGCGCGTCCAAGTCCAGCACAGCATCATCGACGTCTTCATCCGAAGTATGCGTCGAAAGTCCAAAGGTCGACTCATCGAAGTTGACATCGCGACTGATAACCACCTGCCCCGCCTCGATGTCATAAACTCGATACGCCTTGGACACTTCTTCGTAGCCGAGGAACAGCCCGGCGCGAGCCTTGGGGTCCCACTTGCGCCGTCTTTCCTTCGGCGTCAGGATGTACGTCTGGCATCCGAACACACGCATGTGCTTCACACTCGGCTTGGACTTGTAAACGATCTCGAACGGAGTCTTGTGTTCGATCTTGGGTGATGGCAGACGATTCTTCACGTAGATGGCTGTCATGGCCGCCTCAGCCCAGAAGCTCTGTCCAGCTTGGCGTGATGCAGCATGCTGCGGCCAATCGTGACGATGGTCCGGATGGCGCGTTCTGCCGTGTCGTTGGTCTGGTGCGCGTACGGAACCGTGGTTTGCTGCTCGATGCCTTCGACTTCGTAGAAGGTCTTGAGCGAGTTGGTCGCGAACTCACGGGCTCCGTCGTGCCGCACAAACTTGACCTTCTTGCCGAAGTGCGTCTGCACCTTCGTGACGTACATCTTGATGCAGTCCTCGCTCTCCGACTTGGCACGCAGGCAGAACCCCTTCATGCATCCGCTGACTTCGTCCACGATCAGCAGCAGATACTTGCTGCCACCCAGTGACTCTTCTTCCATGGGGCCGCACACGTCGAAGTGGAGCAGCTCGAACGTGTCGTAGTGACGCTTGTCACGGTTGCTTGGGAACGGTTTCTGGACCATTTTCCCTTGCTGGCAGCCGCGACACACGCTTGGTCCACTCGACTTGGAAGGTGCCTTCGCGTCCTTGATCATGTTGTTGTCGACCATCTTGCGAAGCACCTCCACCGGTGCGTGACCCATACGCGCGTGTAAGTCGACCGTCTTCCCACTGGTCGCCGCATTCGCCGATCGCTGAGGCGTCTGGAGCCAGTAGAGTCCATCCACGAGGTTTGCCGTCGCCACCACTTGCTTGGAGCCCTTGTGCGCAATCTGCATCTTGGTGCTGTCGAACACGACTTGGAACAGACCACTCTTGTTGATCTGTGGCACCGAAAGCAGATTCTTGCTCATGCTTGGGACGTACAGCGCGTTCTTGATCTCGATGTCGCGCTCGTCGCCGTTGGGCAGAACCACTCGTTCCACGATGGTCCCCACACCCATGATGGCCGCCTTGTTGCCGTCGGCCACCGAAAGTTCGCCTTCATTCCGCTCAATCAAATGAGCGAACTTGGCCTTGTCGTTGCAGATGTGGTGCGTTGCGCCGCTGTCGACCGCCCACAACCCGGACACATTCTTGCCCGTCGAAATGCCACACTCCAGTGAGACCGCGAACGCCACTCGATCATAGCCGTAGTCGTAGTTGTAGCTGGCGTCGTCGTTCCTCCCCTGGGCATTGCTGGCCCCGCGTCCACGGCCATTGCCATTGCCGCCGCGTCTTGGGCCCCGATTCTCGTCCTTCTGCTTGGTCCAGCACTTGTCAATCGTGTGCCCCAATTTCCCGCAGTTCGTACAATGGCGAGACTCTCGGTCGGTGTTGAACGCCTTGGCCGCATTCTCCGTCTTCACCGTCGCCGTCTTCTCGCCTTGTCTCTTGATGTGCTCATTCGTCAGCACCTTCATGACGTCTTGCGATCGTAGTTCAGCGCTGCTCATCTCCAAGTTCAGCACGACGTTCTCGTAGCTCTTGGGGAGGCTGCGCAACAGGCAGATCGCCACGTCCTCATCCTCCATCTTGGCGCCGATGCTGCTGAGCTTGGCGCTGATGTTGAGGACCTCGTTGCAATGATGCAAGACGTTGCCGCCTTCCGACATCTCCATGCTGAAGAGTTGGCGCTTCAGGTAGATGCGTCCAGCCTTCTGCGAACCACCGTACAGCGTCTTCAGGCGCGTCCACGCAACCCACGCTTCCTCGCAGTCGTCGAGTAGTCCGCGTCCATGTGGAGCAACATCAGTCCGAACGCGATGTTGCTCGACTTGACGTAGTCGTCCTTGGCCCGCGAGTCCGTGAAGCTCGGCGTCGTCTCGCGGTTCACGACATGCCACGTCGACTTGGTCAGGAACACGCCACGCATGTAGCGGTTCCACGTCGCGTAGTTGTCCCCGTTGAACTTGTCAATGGAGACCTTGGTCGAGGCGTCTTGGGCAGAGGACATGGTGCTTGGGCTCATAACCTGATGGAAGGTATGGATCTTGGACACGAAGCTCGGACGAAGCGGAGGGAGGGACGTCGCAGACGGCGGGACCGGAGCGAAGGCACTTGAGGGGTAGAATGAAGATTCGAAAGTGATTGAATTGTTGGAGCTTACACCCTACTGTTATAGACACGCGACCCTGCGTCCTATCACCTAGTGCATCTAATCAACCATCACTCACCGGTGTTCATCCAATCATCCTACTCGTCTAATCATCGGTGCCGTAAACAACTTACCGTAATCACCATAATCAACGTGGGTTCGGATTGGACCGGTTCGGGTTAACCGGTTAATGGGTACAACTGGTACACAGTACCCAAGACCAGCAACCCTCAATATGTGGTTCAGAGAAATTTCGGGACTGAGTCGTTACCCTATCCTATGCCCTAGCTACTGGCTACTCTGTACTACTGCTTACTAAGCCTACCGCTCTGGGCCCATCCCTACTTCTGTCGTGCTTGCACTGCCGTCCTTCAACCTGGTTTGCGTGGCGCAATCAAGATCTTACCTCGGCGCGTTTTGGTCGGCGGGGGTTAGGGTCGGCGCGTTTTGCTCGGCGCATCTTGCAGAACCGGATGCGCTGGTCGACCCGTCGGATGATTACGCGTCGCACTGAATTCTGGCACCGTGTCTCACGGCCCATCACCCACGCCGACTTTCCCGTCGAGCTCGGCCCTGCGTCGCGCCCATCAATCCGCGTCGCGTTCCATCAGCCGCGTCGAAGTCCATCACTCGCGTCCCGGCGCCTTCTTCCTCCGGCGCCCGGCGCGCCCACTTCTTCCGCAGGGTACTACACCACAAAGTTTTCTTTTTTTTCCTTTTTGACTGAGGCGCCCAAACAGATACTGATGCGCCTCTTGTATCGGTTAGTACTTTATCAACAGAATTGGTATCTTGAACGGTTAACCTTTTCATGATACCTTTCAGTTCTTTTAAGTTACTATTTGCCTCACGTCTATATGCATTCTTAGTATCAACTAATCTTGTATTCGCAATAATTAGAGTCATGGCTACTTCTATATTATATGCATTAAAACGTCTTTAAATTCTTCATGTGAGATTAACTTTGCTGAATACATATCTACCATCACGGATTTTAGCTCTCTAATAATCTCTGGGTTATCATTCCCAAGCATGAGTTCTCCTTTTAACTTTATATATTCCTGCTTCAGAGCTTCTCTGGGATCTTGCATTTGATTCTAAAATTCATATTGAGTATGCGTAATCCGCATGATTTCGTGAAATAGCCGCTTATCATCCATTGGTAGATTGTCGTATGCCTTTTGGTCTACGATCTTATCATAAATAAGCGTTTTAAGAAAATCAGCTACTTCAGGGGTTATAGAACGTCTCTTTCCTACGATCTTACGATTCGGGTATACAATTTTCAGCTCTCCATTGTTTAGCTTTTCAACTTGAACAAATTTTGAACCTAGGCGTTTATAGGTTAGGTCACTCGCCATTCCGGTACCCTCTGTTGTCAAGACTGATGTGACGACGCCCCGCCAAGCGACCGTGTGACGCGAACGCGTCATCAGTGAGGTCGGCGTGACCTTCACTGTGTGGTACCGAAATCATTCAGGTGATTACGGGACGATGATTACGTCACGGTGATTACGCCAAGATTGTGGGTACAAGATGGGCATCGACGTGGCGTTCTCTGATTGGATAAGGTAACTGTGTATCCAGTAGAGAATCCAGTAGGGTGTATCCAGTAAGAGGTATCCAGTAGCAGGCTTAGAGGTAGCACGCGGTTGCGAACTAAGGACCTGAATCGAATCACTTTGCATTTTGCCAACTACTGCTCAAGTGCTCTTCCTTTTTGGTTATGAGCCCAAGCCCCGTCTTCTCTGACCAAGACCCCGACTACGCCTTCGCCATGGACGCCGCCCCAACCGCGACCGCCCGCATCAACAAGTTCGACGGAACCAACTTCCACACATGGAAGTTCAAGATGCAGATGGTGCTGGAGGAGCGCGAACTGTGGGAAGTGACGAGTGGGGAAGTGAAGCTCGAGCAGTGCACGACCGCGGCGGACCAAGCGACGTTTCGCAAGAAGTCGCGCAAGGCGCTGGCGATCGTCTGCCTCGCGATGGAGGACTCGCAGCTGCCGCTGGTGCGGTCGGCGAAGGACGCGCATGATGCATGGTCAAGACTCGAGGGACACTTCGAGAAGAAGAGCCTGGCGAACAAGCTCTTTCTTCGTCGACGGTTCTTCACGACAACGATGGACGAAGGTGATGATGTGCTGGAGCACATTAACAAGCTCAAGACGCTGGCGGAACAGCTCGACGCGGTCGGCGCTCCGGTCAGCGAGGACGACTTGGTGATCACGCTTCTTGCCAGTCTGAGCGAGTCGTACCAGTTCCTCATCACGGCGTTGGAATCGCGTTCCGACACGCTGACGTGGGAGCTCGTGACGTCTCGGCTCCTGCACGAGGACATGAAGCGCAAGGAACAAGGTGGCGGTGCTGACGGAACCGCGCACGCTCAAGGTCAAGCGTTCATGACAAGCGACAACGGGAAGCGCAAGGGACGGCAGGCACAAGCGCAGAGGACGAGCGCCTGTCACTACTGCGGCGAGCACGGACATTGGATCGCCAAGTGTCCGGTGCGGATCCGCGAGAACGGGGGGCGGCAGAGGCCGCAACGAGCGAACGTCGCGCAGGTCGAAGATGACTCTGGCGACTTCCTCTTCTCGGTTGGTGGCGACACGGTGCCTCCAAGCTGAGCGGCATGTGGCTGGTCGACTCAGGTGCGACGCAGCACATGACGTACTCGAAGGAGTACATGAAGAACTACAAGAAGATCTCTCCGGTGGACGTGCATCTGGCGGACGACGGCGTGGTTCAGGCGGTGGGGAGCGGCGACATCGTGATGTCGATGCAGACACCGCGCGGCATGAAGAAGGGTGTGCTCACGGGTGTGTGGCACATCCCGAAGCTGTCGCGCAACCTGTTCTCCGTCGGCCGCTTCACCAAGGACGTCGGGCCAGTGACCTTCGAGAGCGACGGGTGCTTCGCGGAAACGAAGGGTCTCAAGTGGAAGCTCGGCGCTCGCGAAGGCAAAGGACTGTTCAAGCTCTGCATGACGCCGAGGACGCCTGCTGACGAGGCCAATGCGGCAAGCTCGAAGAATCGCCAAGGGGACACCACGTCGTACCTCTGGCACCTTCGACTTGGTCACATCGGCCATGGTGGTCTCGACGCCATCGTCAAGAAGGGCTACGGCACTGGCATCCCAATGACGTCGGTGAAGCAGTGGGAGGTGTGCGACGGGTGCGCACTCGGCAAGCAAACGCGAGTAAGCTTCATGAAGTCGTCGCCGAACCGTGCGAAGCAAGTGCTGGAGGTGGTCCACAGCGATGTGTGCGGTCCGATGCAGACGGCGACGTTCGGAGGCAAGCGCTACTTCGTCACGTTCATCGACGACAAGTCGCACTTCTGCGTGGTGTACCTGCTACGGAACAAGTCAGAGGTGACTGCCAAGTTCGCTGCGTTCGTCGCGTTGGCTGAGACGCAGACCGGCAAGCGAGTGAAGGTGCTTCGGAGCGACAACGGCGGCGAGTACACTTCGGGTGCGATGGCCAAGTTGTGTGCGGATCGCGGCATCGAGCAGAAGTTCACGCCACCATACACGCCTCAGCTCAACGGAGTGGCCGAGCGAATGAATCGGACGCTGGTGGAGTGTGCGCGCTGCATGCTGGAGCACGCCGGGTTGTCGAAGGAGTACTGGGGAGAAGCGGTGATGACGGCCACGTTCCTCCGCAACCGGTGTCCGACGCGCGCCATCAGTCACGACAAGTCGCCGCACCACGTTTGGACCGGCAAGAAGCCTTTGCTGGCCAACCTCAAGGTGTTCGGGTGCCACGCGTACGTGCACGTGCCGAAGGAGAAGCGGTCGAAGTTCGACGCTCGGTCGGTGCGCTGTCGTTTCCTCGGGTACTCGGAGCACGAGAAGGCGTATCGGTTCGAGGAGATCGAGAGCGGTCGCGTGTTGAAGGAGAACCAGTCTGGAGAGATCGAGCGGTTCAAGGCGCGACTGGTGGCGAAGGGGTTCTCGCAGAAGTACGGCATCGACTACGACGAGACGTTCGCGCCGGTGGCCAAGTTCACGTCGATTCGGGTGTTGCTGAGTCTGGCGGCCAAGTACAAGCTCACAGTGCACCAGATGGATGTGAAGACCGCGTTCCTCAACGGCTTGTTGGACGAGGACATCTACATGGCGCAGCCGGACGGATATGTGGACGGAGATCGACCCGACTACGTGTGCCGGCTCAAGCGTTCGCTGTACGGCCTGAAGCAGTCGCCGCGGATGTGGAACAAGACGATCGACGAGTTCATGTTGAAGCTGGGGTTCAAGAAGTGCGAGTCCGACCACTGCATCTACTTGAAGCGGGACAATCACGACATGATGTTCGTGGCACTGTACGTGGACGATCTGGTCCTCGCCAGCAGCAGCGACGGGATGCTGAAGGACACGAAGCAGGCGCTGAGTGACCGGTTCGAGATGACCGACATGGGCCAGCTCAAGTACTTTCTCAGTATGGAGATCGAGCAAGATGTGGCGACTGGGAAGGTGTCGGTGCGGCAGACCAAGTCCGCGAAGGACATTCTCGAGAAGTTCAAGATGGATGAGAGCAACCCTGTGAAGACACCGCAGGATCCGGGTCTGAAGCTGACCAAGGCCATGTGCGAGGGAGGCTGCAAGCACGACGAGACCATGGCGAATGTTCCGTACCGGAACGCCGTGGGCTGCCTCATGTATCTCATGGTGGGGACTCGTCCGGACCTCGCAGCGGCAGTGGGAGTGCTGAGCCAGTTCGCAGCGGACCCATGTCCGACACACTGGCAGGGTCTTCCGCTACATCCGAGGCACGAAGACGCACGGCCTCGTGTTTCAAGCGAGCAGCGAGGACGGACTGCAAGGCTACTCGGACGCGGACTGGGCCGGCGACATCGAGTCTCGACGGAGTACGAGCGGCTACGCGTTCATGATGAACGGCGGATGCATCAGCTGGCGAAGCAAGAAGCAGCGCACGGTGGCGCTCTCGTCGACGGAAGCCGAGTACATGGCGCTGTCGGAGGCCACGCAGGAGGCGGTGTGGCTCAAGGTGTTTCTGTGCGAGCTGGGCGAGATGGCGAGCGATGAAGCGGTGAAGATCTACGAGGACAACCAAGGCTCCATCGCGTTGGCCAAGAACCCGGAGTTCCACAAGCGCACCAAGCACATCGACATTCGCTACCACTTCGTGCGCGAGAAGGGGGAAGACGGTCAAGTGGTGTTGCAGTATGTTTCGACACTCGACATGCTGGCGGACATCATGACGATGCCGATCGCGGCGCCGCAGTTCGACGCGCTCAGGACGAAGCTGGGCATCGTGGTCGCTGTCGAGTCGAGTGGGAGTGTTGTCAAGACTGATGTGACGACGCCTCGCCAAGCGACCGTGTGACGCGAACGCGTCATCAGTGAGGTTGGCGTGACCTTTACTGTGTTGTACCGCAATCATTCAGGTGATTACGGGACGATGATTACGTCACGGTGATTACGCCATTATTGTGGGTACAGGATTGTGGGTACAAGATGGGCATCGACGTGGCGTTCTCTGATTGGATAAGGTAACTGTGTATCCAGTAGAGAATCCAGTAGGGTGTATCCAGTAAGAGGTATCCAGTAGCAGGCTTAGAGGTAGCACGCGGTTGCGAACTAAGGACCTGAATCGAATCACTTTGCATTTTGCCAACTACTGCTCAAGTGCTCTTCCTTTTCAACCCAAGTCACCATTTCTAACAATCACTGCCCCGCCGATAAAAATAAATAATTCCGGTCGCCATCGGTACATGATGCGGGACCCCGGGGTCCGGCCAATAGCTTCATATATATATATTGCTCTAACGACAATGTCTACACTAAGCTGCATTATGTGCATGCTGCAGTAGTTTACGGTACACGTATCTAGGGTAGCAGCGCGCATTTATTTTGAAAGCTGCATGCGTTGCCAGTGTCACTACTATTCTACGCCTACTCTGCATCTTTTATCTGGATTTATAACGCGTTATTGCTCTTGGTGCATGGCGTACAGTACTTAGTAACAGTAATTCGAAATTGCGCACGCCCATGCTGTTGTGCGCTGCGCGCAATTCGAGCAGCATTTTCTAAAATTGTTTTGTTGAAGCGCAAGAGTTAGGGCACCTGGGATATGATCGATTTTGATTTGAGTTGGAGTGCATTGTTGTCACTTGGCTGATGCGACTATCGTTCCTATGGAAGCGACTGTCGGACTGCAGCAAGATCCTGCCATTAATCAGCACCAGTCTACCCCTAATTAATAAGCACCAGTCTACCCCTAATTCCGAACTGTAATCCATCGACTGCCCTGAAGGTACCAGTTATCCCAACAGGCGGAACTCCCGAAACCGTAAAGTAGTTTATTTATGTAGATGTATGCATGTACTCACTGTAGCAGTGTCCGCTGCCGCTGCGCTCCGCTGCTCACTCCCGTACGCCACGCGCCCTCCCGCTCGTTGCCTCCGTCCGTCCGCCCACCGCGCGCCAACTTTCAAAATGGGGGATGTGATAATCACACCCGTTAAAGTCCGATTATTTCCGCGTAAGTACGATTTTTAGCGTGATTGTGTCTAGTTTTGTAATTTCGTAAATAGTTTAAAAGCCAGTGCGAGGCGACTTGATGAGTGAATAATGTATGCAATAAGGCCGCGGTAGCGTAGTCTAATTGAAAGGTTTAGGCTGTAGGGGCGGAAAGCGTGACGCGATGACCGACAGACAGGATTCTCGGTTAGAGGACGGAGAATGGAGTGGATTGGCAGCGACCGCGCAGCTCACGGGCACTTCCGACAGCCGCAGCTGATCAAGATGCTCGTGGGCATTATGTACTGGCGTCACCTTGACAAGACCCCCTGGAGTAAGTACGTCCCTGATGCTTATTACAAAATGGCGGATGAACGTCTGGACAGGTGCCTTCGACGCGGTGATGTGCCACCACCCTGGGGGAACCTCGATGACCACATGGTGTACCCTGATGAGGACGCCGATTCCACGGTGGACGACATCGAGAACGACCCGGACTACCAGCCTCCCACCCAGGAACCTGAGGAGAGCGCCTCTAGCGGGAGCTCTGAAGAGGAGGAGGAGGAGGTCGCCCCTGAAACTCTGGAGGACATCGAGGATGCAGAGGACGACGACGACGCAGAGGACGACGACGACGCAGAGGACAACGACGACGCAGAGGACGACAATGAGGTAGAAGAACCCCTGGAAGTCAAGCCTCCTGCTAAGCGCCCCCGTTCTGAATCAAGCAAGAAACCTCAGGGTTCCAACTCGAAGTCGAAGAAAAAGCGTCGCACAGGAAACAAGAAAGACACTTCTGCCACTCAGGGGTCCAAGGCTACATCACGCTCCAAGCATCCGTCGGCGCTCGCGCGGAAATCATACTCGGAGCTCACTTCCAGTGAGTTGATGACGGCCGAAGACCCTGAGGACAACGAGACTTCCTGGCGCATCTATGGGGTTCTTGTGCAATATCCAAGCTCGACCAAGAGGGCGTCTTGCCAGACTCCTGGGTTCCCAGAATACGAGATCCACAAGTATTCGTACGACGTTGTTCACGAGCGCTGGGACCGTGAGGCATACCAAGAAGTCCTGGATTCTAAACCCTGGGAGACTATGCTTCAGGGTCGCTTCCGAGTGTTCTACTTCCATGAGCGAGAGCTGCTCTCCACGAAAGCGCTCAAGCTGATGGAGGACGTCGTAGACATCATGCACAAGCACGCACAGGCAATCTGGGAGCGCGGGCACTGGGTGCCTATTCCGACTGAAGAACAAGTATTGAGGGTTGCTGGTCTTGGGTACTGTGTACCAGTTGTACCCATTAACCGGTTAACCCGAACCGGTCCAATCCGAACCCACGTTGATTATGGTGATTACGGTAAGTTGTTTACGCCACCGATGATTAGACGAGTAGGATGATTGGATGAACACCGGTGAGTGATGGTTGATTAGATGCACTAGGTGATAGGACGCAGGGTCGCGTGTCTATAACAGTAGGGTGTAAGCTCCAACAATTCAATCACTTTCGAATCTTCATTCTACCCCTCAAGTGCCTTCGCTCCGGTCCCGCCGTCTGCGACGTCCCTCCCTCCGCTTCGTCCGAGCTTCGTGTCCAAGATCCATACCTTCCATCAGGTTATGAGCCCAAGCACCATGTCCTCTGCCCAAGACGCCTCGACCAAGGTCTCCATTGACAAGTTCAACGGGGACAACTACGCGACGTGGAACCGCTACATGCGTGGCGTGTTCCTGACCAAGTCGACGTGGCATGTCGTGAACCACGAGACGACGCCGAGCTTCACGGACTCGCGGGCCAAGGACGACTACGTCAAGTCGAGCAACATCGCGTTCGGACTGATGTTGCTCCACATGGACGCGGACTACCACCATGTGGTCGACGACTGCGAGGAAGCGTGGGTTGCGTGGACGCGCCTGAAGACGCTGTACGGTGGTTCGCAGAAGGCTGGACGCATCTACCTGAAGCGCCAACTCTTCAGCATGGAGATGTCGGAAGGCGGCAACGTCTTGCATCATTGCAACGAGGTCCTCAACATCAGCGCCAAGCTCAGCAGCATCGGCGCCAAGATGGAGGATGAGGACGTGGCGATCTGCCTGTTGCGCAGCCTCCCCAAGAGCTACGAGAACGTCGTGCTGAACTTGGAGATGAGCAGCGCTGAACTACGATCGCAAGACGTCGTGAAGGTGCTGACGAATGAGCACATCAAGAGACAAGGCGAGAAGACGGCGACGGTGAAGACGGAGAATGCGGCCAAGGCGTTCAACACCGACCGAGAGTCTCGCCAGTGTACGAACTGCGGGAAATTGGGGCACACGATTGACAAGTGCTGGACCAAGCAGAAGGACGAGAATCGGGGCCCAAGACGCGGCGGCAATGGCAATGGCCGTGGACGCGGGGCCAACAATGCCCAGTGGAGGAACGACGACGCCAGCTACAACTACGACTACGGCTATGATCGAGTGGCGTTCGCGGTCTCACTGGAGTGTGGCATTTCGACGGGCAAGAATGTGTCCGGGTTGTGGGCGGTCGACAGCGGCGCAACGCACCACATCTGCAACGACAAGGCCAAGTTCGCACATTTGATTGAGCGGAATGAAGGCGAACTTTCGGTGGCCGACGGCAACAAGGCGGCCATCATGGGTGTGGGGACCATCGTGGAACGAGTGGTTCTGCCCAACGGCGACGAGCGCGACATCGAGATCAAGAACGCGCTGTACGTCCCAAGCATGAGCAAGAATCTGCTTTCGGTGCCACAGATCAACAAGAGTGGTCTGTTCCAAGTCGTGTTCGACAGCACCAAGATGCAGATTGCGCACAAGGGCTCCAAGCAAGTGGTGGCGACGGCAAACCTCGTGGATGGACTCTACTGGCTCCAGACGCCTCAGCGATCGGCGAATGCGGCGACCAGTGGGAAGACGGTCGACTTACACGCGCGTATGGGTCACGCTCCGGTGGAGGTGCTTCGCAAGATGGTCGACAACAACATGATCAAGGACGCGAAGGCACCTTCCAAGTCGAGTGGACCAAGCGTGTGTCGCGGCTGCCAGCAAGGGAAAATGGTCCAGAAGCCGTTCCCAAGCAACCGTGACAAGCGTCACTACGACACGTTCGAGCTGCTCCACTTCGACGTGTGCGGCCCCATGGAAGAAGAGTCACTGGGTGGCAGCAAGTATCTGTTGCTGATCGTGGACGAAGCCAGCGGATGCATGAAGGGGTTCTGCCTGCGTGTCAAGTCGGAGAGCGAGGACTGCATCAAGATGTACGTCACGAAGGTGCAGACGCAGTTCGGCAAGAAGGTCAAGTTTGTGCGGCACGACGGAGCCCGTGAGTTCGCGACCAACTCGCTCAAGGCCTTCTACGAAGTCAAAGGCATCGAGCAGCAAACCACGGTTCCGTACGCGCACCAGACCAACGGCACGGCAGAACGCGCCATCCGGACCATCGTCACGATTGGCCGCAGCATGCTGCATCACGCCAAGCTGGACAAGAGCTTCTGGGCTGAGGCGGCCATGACAGCCATCTACGTGAAGAATCGTCTGCCATCACCCAAGATCGAACACAAGACTCCGTTCGAGATCGTTTACAAGTCCAAGCCGAGTGTGAAGCACATGCGTGTGTTCGGATGCCAGACGTACATCCTGACGCCGAAGGAAAGACGGCGCAAGTGGGACCCCAAGGCTCGCGCCGGGCTGTTCCTCGGCTACGAAGAAGTGTCCAAGGCGTATCGAGTTTATGACATCGAGGCGGGGCAGGTGGTTATCAGTCGCGATGTCAACTTCGATGAGTCGACCTTTGGACTTTCGACGCATACTTCGGATGAAGACGTCGATGATGCTGTGCTGGACTTGGACGCGCTGGACCTGGACGACAACGATGGACCGCGCCAAACGAGCTTCAAGCAGGCGGGGAAGCGCAAGTACCGACCGAGTGGCGACGACAACACTGCCAGAAGATCGCGCCCCGTTCGCCACCGAGCTGGCTTAGAAGAAGCAAGTGCGCCGGACGTATCCTCCTCGCGCCGAGCCGACCCCGACGAAGAAGAAAAGTCTGGGGACCAAGATGAAGACGACGACTCGACGCCTCCAGTGTTTTGGCGTGCCAGTGCAAACGCTGTGGAAGCAGCAGCCGATCTATCGGAGCCGACGACGTTCCAAGAGGCTGTGAACGGTCCTGATCAAGTGCACTGGCGCAAAGCGATCCGCGCGGAGCTCAAGTCGATGCGACTGCGTGGTGTGTTTCGAGCTGCCAAGTTGCCTAACGGACAACGCGCCATCGATACCAAGTGGGTGTTCAAGATCAAGCGCAAAGCGGACGGCTCGATCGAGAAGTACAAGGCGCGCCTCGTGGCCAAGGGCTTCAAGCAGAAGTACGGCATTGACTACACCGAGACGTTCTCGCCCGTGGTCAAGTATGTGACGCTGCGCATGGTGATCGCGATTGCTAAGTATTTTGGCTGGCCCCTCGACCAACTCGACGTGGTGACAGCATTCCTGTACGGGATAATGAAGGAGGTGGTCTTCTGCGTGGTTCCGGAAGGCGTCGAACTGGATGGTGACTTCGACTGCCTGGAACTGGTGAAGGCCATCTACGGTCTCAAGCAAGCTTCGCGAGGGTGGAACGAGACCTTCGACGAGTTCGTGTGCTCCATCGGCTTCCAAGTGTCGGCCTTCGATCCGTGCCTCTACATCAAGGTGGTGGACGGTCACTGCGTGCTTGTACTGGTGTACGTGGATGACGTACTGCTTACCGGGAGTTCGCCCGAGCTGATCGCACGCACGAAGACCGACCTGAAGACGCGCTTCGAGATGACCGACAGCGGCAAGTGCGCGTTTGTTCTTGGGATCGAGTTGGTGGACGGCCCGGACGGCAGCGTGACCATGTGCCAGCGGCGATACGTGGACGACATCCTGAAGCGCTTCGCCATGGACGAGTGCAAGGCCGTGGTGAGTCCGGTGGACATGAGCACTCGACTGGTTCCAAGCGACGCGGCGACCAAGGTGAACGCTCCGTTTCGCGACGCTGTTGGTGCTCTGATGCACCTGATGACCGCCACGCGCCCAGACATCGCGTACGCCGTTGGCTATGTATCGCGCTTCATGGAGAACCCCCAAGAGGAACACTGGGTTGCGGTCAAGCGTATCTTTCGCTACCTGCAAGGCACCAAGACGCATGGGATCTGCTTCAAGCCGGGCGACAAGATCGACTTTCGTGGCTACTCGGACGCGGACTGGGCCGGCGACCTCGCCGACCGCAAGTCCACTTCAGGCTACACGTTCATGCTCATGAGTGCGCCTGTGAGCTGGGGAAGCAAGAAGCAATGAAGCGGAGTACATCGCGCTCAGTCTGGCTATCCAAGAAGGCAAGTGGATTCATCGCCTGCTATGCGAGATTCTGGCGGCCGCTAATGAGACTGGACCCGAACTCATGATCCGCGAAGACAACCAGTTGTGCATCAAGATGACGAAGAACCCAGTGAACCACGGTCGCGCCAAGCATATCGACACCAAGTACCACCACATCCGCGATGAAGTCAAGCGCGGCGAAGTCAAGCTCCAGTACTGCGAGACTTCTGTGATGCTAGCGGACATCATGACGAAGGCGCTTGCGGGACCACGCCACACGGATCTGACAGTGGCTCTCGGCATTCGTGGGACTTCGCATTGAGGGGGCGTATTGAGGGTTGCTGGTCTTGGGTACTGTGTACCAGTTGTACCCATTAACCGGTTAACCCGAACCGGTCCAATCCGAACCCACGTTGATTATGGTGATTACGGTAAGTTGTTTACGCCACCGATGATTAGACGAGTAGGATGATTGGATGAACACCGGTGAGTGATGGTTGATTAGATGCACTAGGTGATAGGACGCAGGGTCGCGTGTCTATAACAGTAGGGTGTAAGCTCCAACAATTCAATCACTTTCGAATCTTCATTCTACCCCTCAAGTGCCTTCGCTCCGGTCCCGCCGTCTGCGACGTCCCTCCCTCCGCTTCGTCCGAGCTTCGTGTCCAAGATCCATACCTTCCATCAGGTTATGAGCCCAAGCACCATGTCCTCTGCCCAAGACGCCTCGACCAAGGTCTCCATTGACAAGTTCAACGGGGACAACTACGCGACGTGGAACCGCTACATGCGTGGCGTGTTCCTGACCAAGTCGACGTGGCATGTCGTGAACCGCGAGATGGCGCCGAGCTTCACGGACTCGCGGGCCAAGGACGACTACGTCAAGTCGAGCAACATCGCGTTCGGACTGATGTTGCTCCACATGGACGCGGATTACCACCATGTGGTCGACGACTGCGAGGAAGCGTGGGTTGCGTGGACGCGCCTGAAGACGCTGTACGGTGGTTCGCAGAAGGCTGGACGCATCTACCTGAAGCGCCAACTCTTCAGCATAGAGA